AACCAGTACTTAATTCAAACCACGTGAAGAGGTAGGGGAGGTGAGGTCTTTGCTACGCCTTTCCAGCAGCTGATTCCCACCAAGAGCGGACTACCACTAATATGGGTAAAGGAGGCAGAGTTACAAGGAGGAAGGTAAACAGCACACAAAGCGTGCAGACTTGTCAAAATTCACTTAACAAAAGACCTTAAGGAACACGCACGGGGTACGCTGATACCAGCTAAGTGCCGAGAGCTCGCTCAGTGCTCTATAAAGCCACCCCGCTCCAAGGCGCGTGAAGAAAGCCTGACCACACGTGAGGTTTGAAGGGACACCCAGTAACAGCTTCTTCAGCGCCTCCAGTCACCTCAAAAGGTTTGCAGGCAGAGGCCCTCAGGAGGATTCAGGGTGCTACAAAACCAGCAGAGAGCCGTGCGATACACACGCCCGGGACTTCTGACCAAGAATCACCTTTTGTTGCTTTAGCACCAGCAGCTGTATCCAAGTTACGGTCAACTACTTCTAAGCAGCAAAGCACCACTTAGACAGCAAAGCCTACACACGCTTCTTGAAAAGGGAACCCCTGGGTTTTGTTGCTTTCGAACACAAAAGAACCAGAACTGGCCATCAGCTGGGATGCTGTGCAAACAGAACTTTCCAAGAGCTTGGACGCTTTTCTTTGGAGAAGTCAAATACTCTCCTTGAACAGCACATCCACTCTGGGAAACTCAGCTGCCCTGACAAGTGATTTGCATACTTACATTTCCAAAGCTGACGGGAGACCACTTCCACCTACCTTCAAAACTGAAGCCACCTGGCCCACCAAAGAAGGCCTTGAAGATATTATTTGCATCAAAGTCTACAGGGAAGAAAAGGAAGTTGTGAGCTGAAGTGAAACAGCCAGTTACAGTTTTCACAATTTAGAAATTGCCACTTAATTGAGGGCCCATAAAGCATTTTACAAATGGACGAACAGCTATAAACAGCTTGCTTTGCCTGAGCACTGCTGCACAGCAGCAGAGCACAGGGCTACTGACGGTAGCAAGAAACAGGTAAAAGCAACAGTTGTGAGGGGGACAATTTCAGTCACAGGGGCAACCTAAGAAACTTGGATAAGCAGCATTTAGGGACCCATAACCTTTCTATTATTCGATTTTACACCTCCTGTGAAAGACTTCTGCCTCCTGGCAGCTCTTGCCTACTGGATCAACCAAGGATAACATCCACTGCAAAAGCTAGACTGTTTGCACCTCGAAATACTCAGCGCAGATCTGCCATTCAAACACTTTCAGGGACCATGCTGACTCAATTCACAGGATTATTACAAATGAGAGGTTTGCTTTAGAGGAGAAGGCAGACTCAAGGGGCCATGGGCACAAACTGAAGCACAAGAGGTTCCAGTTGAATGTGAGGAAGAACTTCTTGACTTGGAGGGTGACCGAGCCCTGGCCCAGGCTGCCCAGGGGGGCTGTGGAGTCTCCTTCTCTGGAGATATTCAACCCTGTCCTGGACGATATCCTGTGCATCCTGCTCTGGGTGAGCCTGCTTGAGCAGGGGGGTGGCACTGGGTGATCCCCAGAGGGCCCTTCCAATCCCTGCCATGCTGGGATTCTGTGTTAATCTTTTTAAAGGCTGCTGTGGTAGAACAGTGTAAGGAACACTTACCTCCCATGTTCAATCCATCCTCCTCTAGATCCTGCCCGCTGTCATAGCGGGCCTTCTTCTTGGGATCTGACAGGATGGTAAAGGCTTCACCAACCTCCTTAAATTTCTTCTCCTCTTCCTTCTGTACTTCTGCACTTGCCCCACTGTGCCTGTCTAGGGATACAAAGACAAGCAGCAAAGAAGTTTTTAGTGTAAATGGAAAATGCTACACATTCCCAGCTACCGTCACAGATTTCAATGTTTGGGGTCAGAACTGCTATTTGTCCAGAAATTCCCTTCTATTTATTCCCGCCTCTGAGCGATGGCTGCACGGGGCACATGCACGGAGCAAGGCGATCAAAGCAACGATACATGCTCTAACAATGGACTGTTTGTGGGTACCTGGATGATGCATTAGTGCCCTTTTCCTGTAAGCCTTCTTGATCTCATCTTCAGAGGCATTTTTGTCAACCCCGAGGATTTTATAGTAGTCTTTCCGTTTGCTCTTTTTCAGTTCCACCTGTGCGTTCTTTAGAAGTTGCTTGTGTTCTAAAAAGAAGGGCAATGCCAAAGGAAAGCGGCTTTAGTGTCAGGCACAGCCTCCTGCTTTAAAAGAGGCTGAAGATCAACACGTTGAGATGACCTGGATTGAAGGATTCAAGTGCCACAAGTAACCAACCCACTTGGATTTACAGTCGGGTAGCTAATTAAAGCCTCACTGTCCACTTAAGGTCGTTTCCAAATGTAGGTAAATGTCTCAGTGCTATTAAATGAGCATTTGTTCGATGCTGAACCACAAGGACTAAGGTTACTCTGTCCGTTTCATTTCAGGCTACTAAAATAGCAAGATGACAGTTAAGAACGAGAACTATAACCAGATATTTTGAATCTAGTGCATGGCTTCAGCTTCAAGCTAAATTCTCTTCTCAGCATTCAGCGCTGGGAGAGGAACCAGATTCTGAGACAGGCATTTCAGAGTGGCTCTGAGGACTTTTCCAGTATTTTCCTGCTGGAGTAAAAGGTCACAAATCAGAGCGTATTGGGGGGGAGTGAAAACAAAGAAAAGCAACAGCAAAAAATTGCCAGTTAAGGGAAACTTATGCACACGAAAAGGATGCCAATATGCTCACCTTTCGTTTTTTCCGTCTGATAAACCTTCTCATAGTCTCTTACAGCATCTTCATATTGTTCTGTGTCCATGTAACTGTGGAAAGAGACACTGGTGGCCAAGGTGTACTTCACAGGAAATATCAAAAGTGGGTTCAGGTACAAGCTTTCTAGATGGATATGAATTAAGGAAAAGAAGTGCACGAGACTGCAGAAAGAACAATCATTAGAGGAACCCACAAAGGGTCACTGCTGGACTGCCTGGAAGTCCAGACACCTGCTGTTTGTGGGAAATCCTGGCACAGGAACCTGGACTTTGGGCTCCGAGTGGAGACCGCAATCTCATTTGGCAGCATGAGTCCTACTTTAACGATCTGATAATTACTTTATCCAGCCGCAGGAACTAATACCAGCCAGCAAGATCTCAAGGAAGCTGGTGCAGAGCTGTGCACTAGCAAGGCTGGTTAGAAGTGACAACCTTGGCACCTCAGAGGGATGTGTGCCCGGCATTTCAGCCTTACTCACATATTAACTACTTACTGTAATTTAGCAATTACCGAGATGGAGCTCGAGAAGAACACTGAAGGCTGTAAATGAAAATGAATGCACAACAGGAAGGCCACAAGAACAGTTTTGGTTCATCTATAAGCCAGGCAGCTTTGCCACAAAATGGGGAATAATCAAGTATTGAGAAAAGTAGCAAATAAATCCGCAGTCAGAACAGAGCTTTGACTCCTTCCCTGGTTGGTGCCCAGTTACGAAGGAGGCATATAGACTCAGACAGCCTTTGTACAGCTCGCTCAGTCCCGCTGCACTACACTGCAGTATTATCTGCGGCCGAGACACATACAGTCTCAGCTGATTTCTCCTTTATGGGAAGCAAGGCATCCCCTTTCAATATCTAGTTTGTTGGAAGTGTGAACAGCTCTGCCAGGATAAGATCTCTTACCCGGAGCAGCCCTTCCAAAAAAGCTTGAGAGAGGGGCTCTCTGGGACAGAATGTCTTACGTTAGTCCATAAACATAATAAATGAAGCTTTAGAACAAATCCTGCCTAAATACAACAATCAATAGGCAGTCCCAGATCCACGCAGGCAGGGCAGACTACACAGAGCTTCCCCCATCTCCTCGTCAGCATAAGGAAGAGGAACAAATTCAGGGCCCCTTAAGACAGCACCTTTTATTCAGTTCAGCTTCAGATTTGTTATTCCCGTCACTCAGTGCTGCAGGGAGAAGGTTCCTACCCACAAAGCTGCTCAGCGTGCCCATTGTAAAGGTCTACTTACCACTGTGCTCTCCTCAAGTACGCTTTGATATACGTGTCGTCCAGTTTTACCGCATTCGTGCAGTCATCTATTGCTTCTTCAAGTTTCCTAAGCTACAATATCAGACAGAAGTTAAGTGAATCCCAAACTGCTAGGCAGCATTATGGTTTTAGTCAACTGAAAGGTATAAAGAATTGTGGAAAAATCTCACTGTTTTGTGTGTCTGCGTCTAGGAAATTTTTTCCAACCCCCCAAAACCACAAAGCTTTTGTCCCCTGGGAAAAATTAGAAGCTCGGCCAGCAAAATTGTAGTGGTGCTTCTCTAAGAAATGCACTTGGAAACAGGGTCTTCCTGAGAATGATCTGAAAACCAAGTTACTCTGCGTCCACACTAATTCCCAGACAGGAAAACTGAAAAATATTTAATTTTTTTTTTTTTAAATACATTGTTTGTTTTCAGACACAAGCATCCATTACTGCTGCGTCCAGCTCATCCCATTTCCCAGGTTTTGAGAACAGCCTCTGTCTCTTGACCAAGCGGGGGTGTTGAAAAGCCTCGACACTGGTAGAACAGGCATCAACACACAGAGAGGGCTGAGGAAGAAACATGCCCAGAGGTAACGCAGGGTAGAAACTGGAAGCACTAGCACACGACTGATTGTTTCTCCAGATAGTGCATGACTAAAATGCAAGAGCAAACCTGGAAAACGTGCCCAGGGTTTTTTAAATTAGGTCATTATTTTTTAAGATCAAAACCCAAAGCAAGACAGATGATCTCCAAGAAGAGTAAGAAAAGAAAAGAAATGTCCTCATTACCAGGAAGGAAACAAGTAAGGTTGTCTTTATGCTGATTAAGATAAGGCCAAGCCACATTCCTCCTCTCCCTCCCACTCCATGCAGCCCAAGCATTTGAGTTTTGTTTCTTCAGGAGTCAACAGACCCAATCATTGTGCAAGTACAAAAACCTGAAACATTGCCTACAGCACTAGAAAGATCCAGCTGCCCCAGCAGCCAGAGAAGCCTCTGCTTTCCAGAATCACTGATTTGCAATTTATAAACTACATGGTGAAGAATACGGTGAAAGACAACCTGCCAGGTGACTCTTTCTTACCTTTGAATTAACTGTCCCTCGGTTGCAGTAGAGTTTGGCATTTGTTTTTATGTTATTTGGATCTATCCCTAGTGCCTCTGTGTATAGTTCATATGCTAGTTTGTAGTTTCCTTCTTTAAACGCTTTATTCCCATCTTCTTTCTTTGCTTTAAGTGCTTTGGCATTCTGAAAGAAAATATACCCTGGATAAGGACATTAGGTAGGTGGTTCAGGGGTACCAAGCACCTTATTTTGCTGGGTGAGGGTCCTCAAACATAACTGTTATCATCTGGTTTCAGACGCCGTTACAGAATACAAACATCACAGCCTTGCTATAGCAGCTGAAACGAGCTGTGAGCATTTTGCCTTTCCCCTCAAAGAGAAGCTCTAAGGAATAGCCAGTGCCAGTTACACGCATTCTCCACAGGAACAAAGGTAAGAACATGACAGTGAAGTAAATTTATGGATTTAAACAAAAAAACAAAACAAAAAAAAGGAACGGGACCTCACTTTTTGAGAGCTTATAAGTAAATAGATTTTGAAAGTCAGTCAAAGAACTACAGCAGAGTAGAAATGAGGGAAGGAGCAACATGAAAGGAACAGCACTTAAATGCAAGTCAACCTGTAGGCACCAATATTGAATCGGAAAGTCAGAAGTTCTTTTAGAACTGAGAGACCTAGTTTTATTGCTCCTCTATCTGATGAAGGAACAAAGCAGTATGACAGGGAGGCAGCCTTCAAAGCATCACAATCTTCTGAGAAAGAGCTTCTGACAACTCAGTTTTACCTGAAGCAGCAGGCGGTTGTCTTTGGGAAGGGCTATACACACTATTTGCTACTGGAGATGTGGGGAATGATAACGTTGAGCGAGGGAGAAGGGACTGATCCAGCAGAAGTGTTTGGTTAAAATAAATAAATAAATAAAATCCTGGTAATTTTGGTAATTTTGCAGTCCCATTCCCAGCATCCACAACTTACACGGCAGGCAAGACATGCTTTCTCATGATCAGGAGCCATTCTGAGTGCTTGGACAAAGAATTGCACTGCCTTCTCAATACAGTCCTCATAATAAAGGCAGAGACCACGGACATAGAGAGCGTCTGCATTTGTGGAGTCCATTCGTAAGATGTCACTGTAATAGACGAATTAAAAAAAATGAAATGTTTCCCTATTCCGGTTTCCTTCCGATCTCCAAAAGCATCCACCGAGATATTTATTTATTTTTATCAAGTCTGTGGTACAGACGTGCAAAACTTGTGGGAACTTGCTCAAGCAAGACTGCTGGTTATTAGCGGAGTCTAAATGCAGTTTCCCAGTAAGATAAACTTTAAAGGGGGTAAATTCATGTACTCTTCCTCATCACAATTTGCATTAAGGGCTATTTCTTTTTTATAGTCCCCTCATTCATTTTGGGCTGTGGAAAACAAACAGCAGCCAGGACACAGCACCAGCACTCCAACTCTAGCCCTTAAGACGCTCACCTTGCTACAGACTGGGCTTCTGGGTAGCGACCCAATAATGCTAAACATTCAGCCTTGAGGATTTTGAATCGGTGACAAGCAGGAGCAAACTCCAAAGCACGATCCATGCAAAATACAACCTGGTGTGAGAAAAAACACAAGTGTGAGCAAAGCAAATAGCCAACGCCCTACTTCGAAAGGCTGCACCGTTACCACACTTCAGATTTCACATTGGCCTTTGAACGGGAAGACGAGCGTGCAGACACCCCTTTCCTCTGCTGCTGGAGATACATTTCATTAGAAAATGTTCCTCACGTGCAGGTTTTTTGTTTTGTTTTTTAAAGGGCTTTGTGTACAAAGGTCTGTCACACCAGCTATGTTACTACGACACAGCGCTTGCAGAAGGTTCAAGGGACACCTGTAGAAGGTCCATCCCTTTAACTCTTCTGAAATTGTAGGCCCTCAAGAAAAAGCCAAGGAAGACAATTCTGGCCCTGTTTCCTGCATTATAAAGACATGTTGGAAGGGCAGAAATTCAATAGATTGAGATGGTTTGGACTGGACAAAACACAAAAAAGTACAGTGCAGGGACTGATCTTACACTGGTCTGACTGCAATGGGCAGGGTGATCTAATAGGTCCTTTCCATCTCTGCCTCTCTGGTGAGGACATCTGCACGAGAACAGGGTCATTGTTCCACCAAGGTTCATCTGCTTCCCCAGCCCGTGACATCACGGTTGCCCGCTGTGGGAAGCACTGTGCTCCAGACTGAGAAGCCAATGGCTTCTGGGTGAGGAAGGAGCCAGAGCAGCTCTCCAGAAACAAAGATCACATTTCATGCAAGCCTCCCCAGTGAAGTGAGACGGGAGAAGTGACGGGACAGATGCAAAAGCCCAGAACGTGCAATACAGGCAGAGCAATTCCTACACACGAAATCCAGATTGACCATACATCCCATTTGCTCCTCATAACCAGGTGATACAAAGCTGGGGTTTACCCTTCCAAAACCTTGAGCTTAGCCTAAGAGTGTGGACAATTTCCTTTCTGGGCCAAAACTTGGGCCTTACATGCATCCACTGAACAGAAACAGTTGCATGAGAAGTGTTTGGTGCCTTTCAGATTTCATGCTGTCATTTCTTGTTATATCAGGTCAGTACCAGCTGCATCCTGTTACAGCCCTTGGGAAGAAAGATTTGGAAACAGTAACGGAGAATGCCCCACGCAGATCTGCATTCCTCCTTCAACGACCCTTACTATAATACTGGCAGACAGATTTTTTTTTTTTTTAATTAAAGAGTTGAGATAGAAGAATCCTGGATATGCATTTTAGGAGCAAAGCGTGATCGAATGCTCCTGCTGACAAAATCTGTATCAAACAGCTCATTCATGGTTCCACTCACCCTGCAAAGCAAACAGTAACAGAGGATATTCAGCCCGAGCCAGTCACCCTCTTCACTCATTCGTTCAGTGCTAAGAGAGCTTGAGCTCTGCCATTTTCACAGCTATTACAGTCCACAGTACAGCCTGGCTTCAATAGCAAAAGTAAGTTGTCCAGCACCTCCCACTAGAACCCAGCTAATGTTAGGTGGGAAATTAGACGTGCATCTGGCTGAGCTAGCCGAGTAAAATACGTCTGTTTGTAATGCTACAGGAAACAATCAAGTTAATCTTACCTTCCTGAAATCCCGTTTCTCAAAATCCACTTCAGCTATTTTTTCATACTCAAGTACAGTACTGGCGTTCTTCAGCTGAAAGACAGGAGAACACAGTGAGTGTTGCAGGACAGTCCCTGCTCTGAAACACCATCAAGCAGCATTTAAGCAGCCAATCCCTAAAGCGTCAGAGCAAAAAACTATTGCAGATCACAGAACAATAATGCAGATTACACGAATACTTTTGCCAGCATTAAAACCAGTTTGAAATCAAGCAACCTAACTGGTAGCCCAGGAAAATGTACCCCTGTGAATGAGACACAAAAGTGGCAGCAGCCTTCTATATCCTGTGTCACCCATTTCTGTGTTCCCTTACCACCATTCAGCATTCCTCCTCTGGAGTGCTGAGTGAAAGACCAGCTTAGCCTCCACGCTTTTCTGCTAAGAAGAGACAATTGCACACAAATGTAACCTGACAGCCTACTGAAAACCAGATGTAGAGATTTTGACAGCATCCCATCTTTTCCCCATTACCTCACAGCATGCAAACAGTCATTACTAACGATGCCTGTGATTCCACCTTGCAAATTCAAAGTGAAAGGCTTACCAGTTCAATCCGTTCCTTCTGACAGCCCCATCTACTGGGAATACTTCAATTTTAAGAACCTCTTACCTCTTGCTGTGCCTGGGTGTTCTTATGATCCAGTTCTAAAACTCGCTGAAAGCAGCGGCTGGCAGAAAAAAAAAAGGGAAAGATGGCACTTCCCTTCCCGTAGATGGCCCTGAGAAGACAGTTAAAAGGGATTTGCAAGAGCTGCAATAGGTGGAGACAAGGGTATTGAGACATGAATAAGAAGCATGAAGTTTTCCACATACCCTTACAAAGCTATCATCCAATCTGACAGACTGCTGAGCATCTCCCAGTGCTTCTCGGAATCTCCCCAACATCATGAGTGTGGCAGCTCTGTTACCATAATAACTGGCATTATTAGGACAGGTATCTGGAGAAGATGTAAGAGCACTCACTGTTAGTGTAACGCAAGCAGTTATACAACTTGTAGAACACATTAAAAAGACATGGTTGGATTAAAACAAAAAATCACATTCCCTCCCAATTTATAACATGTCACCTGAGCGGCGTAGGATGACACGATGGCCCGGCAGCTGTTCTGATAGCAAAACTATTGCTCCCCGCACTAAACATAGGAATTGGTGTAGGATGACACGATGGCCCGGCAGCTGTTTTGATAGCAAGTCACAAAACTATTGCTCCCCGCACTAAACATAGGAATTAACTTGTATAGAACAAAAGGTTGTGGTGTTCAGTCTGGCAGCGCTGCTGACCCTGCATTAGAGGGGAAGCTGGATGGGTTTCCTGTTAAGAATATCTTGGCTGGAGGAGAAACAAAGAACTGCTGCAATCACCCATGTTGGCACCGACTGGCATTATCAATTTGGGGAAATTTCGCAAGGTAATTAAAGCAGGCACAAAGTTCTCATCCAGTGTGTGCTGTTAGAAACCCTGCTGGTGTATTTTAAATCAATACCCAGCTTTGATTTTTAGACATGATATTCAGCAAATATTATCATCAAGTGTTCTCACCTATGGCTTTTGTGTAATAGTTGTACGCTTCATTGTAATCTTTCTTGGCATAGTACGCGTTTCCTTGTTCCTTGAATGATTCTGCTTCTCTGAAAGGAAGCAAAACATCGCATTTTAAGAGGAATGGCTACGACCGAGCATTTGATCCCCACGCAATGTCAGTGATCTTCAGTGCTCCAAAACGCTTGTAGCTGGTTGCTGCAAGATTTCCTCTGTATGCGTTGTCCATGAGAAAACAGCACACCTCACACCCCGCTGGCTCTCAGATACTTCATCGCTTTACTAGGGCCATGAACACGAACGGGAATGCTCCCTAGCTCAATCTTACAGGAGTGCAATAGTAGACTAAAGCCACCTTTGAGCACCCTCTCTGTAGTCTCAAATGCACTGGCTTCTGGAGCCCAGCAAAGCTCAGTTGGACGTGGTTAATCAAGCCAGCCTGCTCCTGAGAGGTGCTGCATAACCCCAGCAGTCATTGAAGTCAAGAAAGAGAGTGCTGTTTTTCAGAATTAATCCCACATCCTTAAGAAACAGGGCCAAGAACAATTTCTACATTCAAAAGACAGCTAAATCAAGGAGAAATAAGTGTGCAAGCCTCAAGTAGAAGCTTGGCACTGCCTTGGCAACAGGTCCAGAAATAGTACTCACACTCAAGAGCAAGCATTTGCAGAGACAGTTTAGGACATTTAAAAACACACAACATATGGTTTAAAGCAGCATCCCCTAAACTCTTGAAAGCAAAGTTTCCCCTGAAGGAAATTAAACCCTCCTCTCTCTTCTCCCATCTACCCTGACCATCTTAGATAAGCAGTCCAAGACGGAACTTGTACCATGGTGCTGAAGTTTAATTCAGCTTCCCTGAATTAAATTCGGTGACTTAATTCATTTGCTTCCCCCTCCTAGACTGTTTAACATGTAAAAACTGAGGCCAACTCAAAAGAAGCATCACTCCGCTCTAAGATACAGCAGTCAGGACTTGCATCATGCTTTTGGGAGCGACAGACACTGTTTGTCCACTCTCCAAAGCGCTTGCAGGACCTCAGACAAAGACAGATTCTAACCATCAGAACAAAGATCAGCTCAGACTCCATCCTTCATGTCCCACCAGGGATGCGGCCAGCGTATCTACGACCCCCAGCCACACTCTCCTCCAACAACTAGCAATCTTCTGCTAGAGCAGCCCAGCCACAGGGATCACCTGCGCAGGGGAAACGATCAGATCCCAAGCAGTACAGTTGAAGTTGATTATTACAGGTTAATCTTACTCCTCTCGGGTGATTACCAACTGATCTGAACATAGCCTTTGCTGAAGCAAAGAAGCAGAAGGCAAGGAAGCTAAAATAGTTGGGTGACCCCCCAGTCTGCCAGAGCAGAGTTGCACTTGCGAGCTCAAACACAGGTCGGTTCCAGGCTGTGCTGAAATGCGGGGCTTCAACATTTTCTCGAAAGAAGGATCCAGAAGTGAAGGTGTCTCTTTGCACCACTTGCTGCAGGAAAGCTATTTAGAGGGAAGCCCAAACTAAATAAAACACGCCAAACCAGAGAGCACAGGACTAGAGAGCGAAGAGTCACAGGACTCAAATACCTTCATCAAACTCCAAAGCAAGCACATGC